CTCTCTCACTCCTCAAACCCCTATGCCTCCTAGCTTCCTTTACTTATTTGCAAAATGAAATTTCTCTCTGACAGACCCATTACTTTTCCTCATTTATTAAGCATTTCTTCCCTAGAGATGGTTGATATTTTCTGGCAACTTGCACCCAGAGTTTTGGTCAGGCATTCTGCATGTATCCTGAGATGAGCATTTAAATTAATGGGCTGTGAACAAAGTAGATAATCCTCCATATTATAGGTGGACCTCATTTAGTCAGTTCAATGCTTTAATAAGGGAACACCAGGTTGCTCATTTTCCCAGTAAGAATGTTGTCTGCCCCCAGACTGCCTTAGGCCTTGAGATACAGATTTTCTGATTGGTGATCTATACCATCTGTTCTGAGGACTGACATTGCCAGTTCTTTAAAATTAATACCTTCATCTGCATGCATGCACACATATATGTACATATGTACACACACACACACACACACACACACACACACACACCCCTAGTGATAGATTTCTATTTCTGTGGTGACAAATGCACTCACTTATATATAAATAATGCTAGAAAAGAAAATTTTTCTTTCCACTGGTTTGTTCCCAGGCATCTACCGGGCAATGCCTATCATACTGTAGGTACTCACCAGTGCATTTGCATACTCAATATGTCCTCTGTGGAGTAAACTATCAAGGTTTCTCTGACTTTAAAATGTTTTCCTTAAGAAAGGTGTCTATTTAAATAACTTTTGTATTTCCTTCTTTCCCCTCCTGTCATTTGTCATAGCTCATCTATTTTTCCTATATTAATTCTTTTTATGATTTTTTTTCTGCTTCTCAAACAAAACAGCAACAACAACAAACCAAAACCAAAAACCTATTCAGAACATTTAGGTTTGTGTGGGTTTCCCGCTCTGTTATAGTTGAAATGCCCCAGTCTCTGCCTAAACAGTTTCAGTTAGATCATTGCATTCTACAAAGATGAGTTAATGCAAAACAATTTTTTTTTAATGCAAACTGTGTAATGTGGCTTGCCTTGCCTCTGCAAACTGTCATGAGAGGCGTTTCAGACCATCTTTCTTTTTGACACCTGACACCGTTCCTTGATATTGTACTGAGTAAGGCACATTTCCGGAAGACATCATCTCTGAAGTGTGTGACCACATCTGAAAGGAGGTTGTTGCCAGGATACCACCTGCCGGCAGGCTTGTGTCTCTTTACTTGTCTTGATTACAGATTTCATATTTCTCAATTCTGCATGTATTTTAGATAATGTTTCCCTGTCCTCAGTACTGAGAAAGTAGGGCCTCAGGCATTCTAGGCAAAGGTGATACCTTTGAGCTGCCTTTCCAGGCCTTTCTCATAAACCACAACAAAAGCAACTTTTTTTTATTTTGAGGTGGTCTCCCTAATTTGCCAAGCTGGCCTCAGCCTCCCGAGTAACTAGGGTTGTAAGCCGGTACTACTAGGCTTCCCTGGATGAGTTTTGGTTTCCAGCTCAGGACTTCAAAACTAAAGCAAAATGAAGTATCGAAGAGAGGTATATTTATTTATTTATTGTTTCATTTTAGAAAGCACCAAAGGTAGAATATATGCATATTTTTTCTGTGAAAAGCACTAGTGGCAACAATCTATAAGTGTAAGGTGTCCTGCTCTGTTTACTTGACCATTTTAGGCTAGGAACCGAGGGCATGCACACATAGTTCCTCTCAGCTGCTAGTTAGAATTTTCCATATCAAGGACAGGCTGCACATACATGAATATACAATTGGGCATGAAGCTTGAGTAATTTCTATTTGTCATTTTGCCCTAGCCCCAACCCTATAAAATACCCTGTCTTTGAGTTTCAATCTGTGTCCTTTTTTTTTGTTGTTGTTGTTGTTTGTTTGTTTCTAACAAAAAAACCAGAATTGACAGGAAGAAAAGCAATTTGACTGATGCTAACATTACTCTTTGCAGCAACCAGTGTGGCTGATGATAGGAAATGCTCCTCCTCGAGGTGGCTGCCTAGACTCCATTTTGATTATCGTTACCAGTAGGACTTATGGATTGCTTCTAGCTTCTCAGAGACTTCCCTGACTTGAGAATTCTTTTTCCTTCTTTCTCAGATCTCCCCACCCTGCCCATGTGTATACTTGAGTGTGTGTGGAGGCTGAAGGTCAACATTAGCTATTTCTATCAGTCACTCTGCACCTATTTTTTGAAACATTTTTACTGTACCCGGTGGTTGCTGATTCACCTAGGTTGGCTGGACTGCAGGCCCCAGGAATTACCCTGTTTCCCTTTCCCTAGTGCTTCCATGTGGCTTTGGTATGTGGGTTCTAGAGAATCCAACTCAGGTCTTCATGTTTGTATATCACAAAGCACATTACCAACCGAGCCATCTCTCAGCCCTAGTCTGTACGTTTTCCCCTGTTGCCAATTTCAGGAATGTCAAATGGTATAATTCATCCCTCATTGGCCAATAGGACTTTGACACTAAGGAGCCATAAGAATTTAATTGGTGCAAAACCTGTCTTGTTTGGACAATTAAACCTTTTATATATTTCCAAATAAATTACTATTCCTTAGTGCCCACAGCTCTGTCACCATAGCTGATGACTATCTAGTCTGAACGAGAGCCTGGCATCAACTGAACTAGCACACTAACTACTGCTGCTGAGAAAGAGGGAGACAGAAATTGGCCTTCTGAAAAGAGAAGTTGATGCCAGTAAATACAGTTTATTTAAGCTTCCATGTTAGAGCCGTCTTAGAAAAAAATAGCACAGATTTGATTATTTTTTAAAAGCAATAAGTTGTGAATGGAGCTCAGTGTCTGATAACTCACTAGACCTCCATGAAATCCTGTGTTCAATTCCCAGCACCACAAAGGGGGAAAAAAGGTCATGAAAATATAAAGTATGAAACATCATGCATGTTATTTTCTATAAAGAACCAATTTTTATGCAAATCCTCCTTTGGGAACCTATTTTCCATTAATAGTTTATTGTATTTATATTTATGTTATCACAACTTGGCTTAACAGGTGTCTGCTGGGTTGGGGTGGCAATACTTTGGGGGTGCTGCCAGCATACTTAGGCTCAATTCTTCTCACCTTTGTGACACTTCTCATTGTCTTTTGCACATAATTGCTCAAGCATAGAAAATCAGTCATATTCTATGTTAGTATCCCATGTTACACTCACACTCATCTCTGAGTACAAGGGAAAGAATGCTCTCCTGGGAGCCAGAAAACCTTAGAGACATCCTAGCTGTACCTTTTGCTAGCAAGAAACACCTGTCAAGTGTTTTCTGATATTTTGGTGTCACTTTTCCCTATTAGAAGTCTGGATGTCAGAGAGGCGCCCTATAAAATATGTCTATCCCAGGAGAAAACATGGCTGCTTCATCACTTCCTCCCTTCTTCTCAGCCGGAAGTCCCATGGTACCCTATGGCCTGAATGGGTCATAGACTTTACTGGTGAAGAAAGGAAGGCTGAGAGGGAGTTGGGGGCTTCTGTGGCAATGACTACAGAACATTAAATTCTCTTGGCTCAAAAATGCCAGTAAAGTCAACCCATTGTGTGCCAGGAAAACACAGGAAACCAAATCAGAAGTAGTAGCTAAAAGAGCTGATGACCGATAATGTTCTCTATATATCATACGTATGTAAAAGGAATGACAAACATTTATGTTTAGAGGGTGTCAGTGTTCTTTTGCTGCAAAGTGACACCATGGCCATGGCAACTCTTATAAAGGAAAGCATTTCATTTGGTCAGAGGTTTAATCCATTGTCATCATGGCGGCATGCGGGCAGACATGGTGCTGGAGAGGTACCTGAGAGTTCTACATCTGGAAATGCAGGCAGCAGGAAGAGAGAGACACTGCTGGCCCTGGCTTGGACTTCTGAAACCCTGTTTTCTCCAAATAAGGCTGCACGTCCTAGTCCTTTCAAAAAGCACTTACCCTGTGCTGACCAAGTATTCAAACATATGAGTCTATGGGGCTATTCTTATTTAAACCACCACAGAAGGGCAAGAAATCCCAAGAAAGGAATCATGCAGATGTTACCTCCAAGTGCTTTAATACCTATTTTATTTTTTATTTTCCCAAGTAACTCCAACTCTGAAGCTAACAGAAATAAATTGAAAATCATTTTACTTGGAATTATGGGTTTATGTCTTCAGAAAAAAAAGAATTAGACATAGATATAAAGGTTTGTTTTCCATAAAAAGTATATATAGATATAGATATCTAGATCTATCTATATATCTAGATCTATCTATCTATCTATATTGAACAAGGGTGATGAGCCCCCTATGGATTTAATGGAAAGTTTATTGTATCCTTAGAAACAGTGAAAAATTGATCATAGCTTTGATTCCGTGGCTGGATAGTAAGAAGGCAGCATAGACACTCTCTGAGTAAGTACCAATCTGATCGAATGGCCCTCTTTTATCTTCATGATTGACTTTTAAAGACAGAAAATACTAGTCTCATTAACAGGTGAGGAAATTACACCACAGAAAGGTTAGTCACTATTGGTAGCAGAAACCAGGCTTCCAACTCTATCTGCTTTGAGTTTGTTTTTCCCTTTATTTTGTTATTGGAACTTCATGGTAAGAGTAATGCTACCAATTACAGGGAACATATTTATTAGGTACCAGGCATTGTGCTGAAATCTTCAAATGCCTGGTTCCATTTAATTATCACTACAGACCTGTGAGGCAGAGGGTATTTCCACATGGCCATGGCACTGGGAGACAATATGGGAGTCCCTGCCCTCTCTGTCACTCCCCAGGCATGGAACCAGTTAGTGTGGGCTAAAAAAAAAAAAAAAAAAAAAAAAAAAAAAAAAAAAAAAACCTGTGGTTGTACCTACCAGGCCACAGGGTGCCCCTCTCTTGGCAGTCATCAGCATGCCTTGGCTTAGCCTGTAGACAGATCCAGTCACTCAGTCACTTTGGGTGTGTGATCCATATTTTCCATATTGCTTGGTTTAGAAATCACTCAGATCTTTAGTATGCTTTTCTTTCACAGGTGCTTGCTGGAACCCAGTTAAGTATTCATACCCAAGATAATGATAGCTTCTCTGTGCCATTGGAGTTGAGAAGGAATGTTCGTGAAATTGATACTGGCTGCCCAGAAGGATTATATCGTGATGGCGAATTTTGCTGTCAACCATGCCATCCTGGTAGGTCACATGAAGTATCTACAGATGAGCCTGAGAATCAGGGTGAGGGATTGAGATGTCCTAAATGTAAGAATGTGCTGGACAGTTATACAGCTATTGACTGTCCTATAGTGTATAGCAATACAAAGAAGCTTGGGGAGGGAACTATAAAATTATTTTCCAAATACATTTTTTTTTCATCTGTATCATATGTGTCTGGAGTGCTTCTGAAGAAACACAATTTACAGATGACATGCTTGTCTGAAATAAGAAGAGCTGTCTGTTTAGCTCTGTTTCTCATGAGCTAAGGAAAATTCATTTGTGAGGATTAAAAAGACTAAGTCTTCTCAAAGCTAACCAGGGTGTGCCTGACTAATTCTGGGGCTCCCCTCAGCAAGGGACTTCCACCCTCAGAGGTTTTTCTCAGCTCTTCTCTTCAGTCAGTCTCCAAAGTGCTCTGTTTAGGCACTGAGGCCTGCAAAAATACATTTGCATTTCACAGCTGAATAACCAGATGAACCTAAGAAGCAGTGAACAGCAACCAACAGTTTTTCCAAAATCACTATTTTGTGATGCAAATCAATTTCAGTTTGGAACACTTTCAAGCACCAGCGAATGAGAGGCAAAGGAAAAAGGAATTTTATAAACTTAGTTTCCACTCTGGTGTTGACCACAGTTACATACTAATGCAGAGCTGTCTCACATGCCTTGGGAGGGTAAGAATTTGAGCTAGTGGTACATATGTTTGTTTGACAGGTTTCAGACAATAGCCATAGATCTCCAAAAGGCTTCTCTGGGCTTTGTCATTAGCCTCTCAGATGATGTACTTTGCACATTAAGGTGTCTAAAATTTCTGTCTGTGTGCTTTTACTTTAATTTTATCTTGTTTGCATTTTAAATGTCATGCCTGGTGTTTGGATATAAAGGGCCCTCAGACCACTGTGGGGTATAGGTGGTGCAAACTTTTAAGAAGGAAAATGGAATGTGGGTTGAGAACCATGTGACAATGTTTTCACTTGCTGACACAGTGATGGATTAATTTACAGAAAAGTGCCTTAAAGTTAAAAATATTGTGTGTATGGCATTTCTCTTTGATACCCAACAATGTAGGGTAGATTTCTGGAGTAATAAAAGGCTTGAATAGTTTGTATCAATCAAAGTCTAAGTGCATCAGCATTTTTGATATGGTTCTAATACAACCCTCAGTTGTGTGATTTTTTTTTTTTTAGTAATTGCTGTCATTCTGGCTGTGTTAAAGGTTTTTCTCAGTCCCTTCACTAATGTATCCCAGCTGCCATTCAACACACTTCTAATACTCTCTCTATCTTTCTTCTCTCTGGTTGAATTTTAGGCTTATCAGCATTCAAGTTAGTTTCAAATCTGCTTATAGCATTGATGATCTGATAGTAACTTGTAATGTTAGTGGTGATATAAATCCGTGAATATCAAATATCGGGAAATGACAAGTTTTATTTTTAAGAAAACTAGGCTGGCCAGGTGCGGTGGTGCACCTCTGTAATCCTAGCACAAGAGGAGCCAGAGGCAGGTGCATCTCTGTGAGTTCAAGGCCAGCGTGTTCTCCAAAGTGAATCCAGGACAGCCAAGGCTACAGAGACCCTGTCTTGAAAAACAAAACAAAACAAAAAAAGAAACTTAAAGAAAATGAGGCTGAATATTTTGGAGACATTCAGGAATTCATAGACTGTTGGAGTGATTCCACTTTCTTTTCATTAGAAAGAAGGGAATGGGAGAAGGAGGTATAGGAAGGCTAAGCGGAAACCATGGGTGATGCATTATGGATGTGACTTAAGTGAAAAGAGTCTATAACTTGTCTCTGGGCCAAATGATCGACATACTTATCTAGAGACTCTTTAAAATAAAAATAAATGGACTTTTTCAGTGATTGCATATGTGAAACGATGCCTTTGATTGATTAAAATATACTGTGTACTTAAATAGAAAATTTTTAATTGAAAATAGATTCTTCTCTCATATAATACATCTCTATCACAGTTTTCCCTCCTTCCACTCCCCCATCTCCTGTCTTCCCCAGATGCACTCCCCTTCCTATTCCCTTCAGAAAAGAGCAGGCCTCCAGGAGACAACAACCAAACATCACAACGCAAGATACAAGACAAGGCAACCCAATAGGAGGAAAATGGTCCCAAGAATAGGCGAAAGAGTCAGAGACCCACTGCTCCCACCGCTAGGAGTCTCATAAAGCCACCAAGCTATCAGCCATAACATATGCAGACCTAGTGCAGACCCGTACAGACTTCATGCTTTCCTCCTCTGTCTCTATGAACCCAATATGAACCCTGCTTAGTTGATTCTGAAGGCCATGTTTGCCTGGTGTCCTCCATTCCCCATGAATCCTACAATCTTTACTCCTGAGGGAGGTTCTCTGAGCTCCAAGGGAAGAAACTCAATGAAGACTCTTTCTCCTCATAATGTCTGGCTGTGGGTCTCTGTACCCGTTCCCATCTGCTGCCAGGGGAAGCCTCTCCGGTGATGGCCGGACAAGGCACCAGTCTATGAGTATAGCAGAATATCAGTAGAGAGCATTGTGTGTGTGTGTGTGTGTGTGTGTGTATATATATATATATATATATATATATATATATATATATATATATATATATATTTTTTTTTGCCTGTTTTATTTGGTTCTACCCTAGGTCTCTGGGCTGCCCAGTCTCTGATTCCTGGCCATGTAGGCAGTGTAAGGTATGGGTTCCCTCTCATGGAGTGGGCCTCGAGTTAAACCAGACATTGGTTGGCTACTCCACAAGTTCTGTGCCACCATTGCCCCCGCAGGCAGGATACGTGTAAGTCAATGGTTTTATAGTTGGGTTGGTGTCCAGGTTTCTCTCTCAGTAGCCTGCAGAGTACCTTCCTGTGCCAAAGAGACTAGGACATTGGGGCGAAGGCCCGTGATAGTACCAGCTCAACCTCTCTGTGTTCAATGAAATATGTGGATGCTGTCCTTGGCAATGGGACCCTATCTGTCAAGTTTTTGGAGAGGGACTCTCTGTCCTAGATTCCGCCTGGCTTGTTTAAGAATCTCCATGAGATCCCCCTCAGCCAATAACTCAACTGAATGCAACCCAGTGCCAGCACTGGAAGCCTTGTCTGGCTAGAAAAGATAGCCAGTTCAGGCTCCATATCCTCCATCATTTGGAGTCCTCACTAAGGTCGCCCTCAGAGATTCCAGGAAGTATCCATTGTCTGTTGCTCTAGGCTTCCACACCACCTCCATGCCAATGTTCACAAGTCCCAGCTCTCTCTCCCTGCACTCTCTCCCTCCATTCCTCCCCGCCCACAAGCTGATTCCTCCTGCTTCTGCTCACCCAGCCCAGTCCACCTGCAAAAATCCATTCTATTTCCCGTTCCCAGGGAGATCCATGTGTCCATGTGTTTACCCTAGAGGCCTCCATTTTAAAGTCAATGGGCCTGTAAATTGCAGCTTGGTTACCATTTAATTAACAGCTAATATCCACTTACAAGTGAGCACATACCATATTTGTCTTTCTCAGTCTGGGTTACCTCACTCAGGATGATTTTTCTGGTTCCATACATTTGCCTGCAAATTTCATGATGACATGAAATTTTTAACAGCTGATTAATATTCCATGTGTAAATGTACCACTTTTTAAAAAAAAAATCAAGTACTCTATTGAGGGATATCCAGATTGTTTACAGATTCTGGCTATTGCAGATAAAGCTACAGTGAACATAGTTAAGCAAGTATACTTGTGATATGGTGGAGCATCTTTTGGGTATATGCACAAGAGTCATATCGCTGGGTCTTGAAGTAAATTGATCCCCAGTTTTCTGAAGAACTGCCATGTGGCTGTACAAGTGTGTAGTCTCACCAGCAATGGACGAGTGTTCCCCTTGCTCCAGATCTCACCAGAATGGCAGTGGCTACACAGAGAAATCGTGTCTCCAAAAAGCCAAGGAAAACAAAACAAAAACAAGCAAAGCCTACACTGGAAGGCTTTGGTTTATATGGCAGAGAGCTTGTCTGGCATGCGCTGGACTCAGTCCCATCATCAAATAAAAGGCACAGTGCACACCTGTAATCTCAGTACTCAGCTTTCAATTGTGTTATAAATCTTAGCCATTCCGACAGGTGTAAGATGGAATCTCAAAGTAGTTTTGATTTGCATTTCTCTAATGGCTAAGGATGTTGATCATTTCCTTAAGTGTTTCTCAAACATTTAAAAATTTTCTGTCCAGAATCCTGTTTAGATCTGTACCCCATTTTTAAATTGGATTATCTGGTTTTTTGATCTATCCTAATATATTTTGGATTTTAGATCTCTATTGGATATGGACTTGGTAAAAGTATTTTCCCATTCTGTAGGTTGCTGCTTTGTCTGATTCATGGTGTCATTTGTCTTATAGAAGCATTTCAGTTTCATGATGTCCCAGTTATGAATTTTTTGATCGATTAAGATATACTATAGACATGTACAGAAAATTTAATAATAAATGAAAATTAAATACTTGAAAAATCCTCATCACATCTTGATATCCAATAGGATGAATTCAACAGTGCATTTCCTATTAGATATACATATATAATACATACTTATCTGTTGCATATATATATGTGTATATATGGTGTATATATTTATAGTGTATTCGTATGTATAGGAAGACAACAAAATAAAACAATGAATATATCAAGGTAGTTGCTTTGTAGTTTTTAATAATTTCCTATCTTTTTCAAATTTTCTGGAAGAAGCATGTGTGTGGCTATCTGAAAATGAAACATTTTGAAATCTTATGTTCAGGAAAACAACCGTTCTTTTTTTTTTTTTTTTTTTTTTGTCTTTTAGTAAATTTAAAGTGTGCACTTAAGAGAAAAAAGTCTGTGGTTTATTGTATCCATATAAAGTGAGGCATACTCTACAAGTTAGCTCTTTAGCTATCTCAGTTCACTTAAACAGCAGTATCATGCCACCTGCAGGAAATGCAATGCCTCTTCTGCCCTGCCCCCCTAAAATACTGCTCTAAGGCTGGATGGCTCTGATGTGCCACTTTAATTTTTCTCCAGATTCTCACTGTTTACTTTTTAAAATAGACTTGGTTTACTAAAAGACTGCAATCTACATTTTCGTTTAGTAACTGACTCGTCGGTAAGTATTGTGTCTCATCAGCAAGAATCCTATGAGGTAATTCACCGAGTCCTGTCCTAGGAAACGCGGCATAGATTACATTTGCCGTTTTGTGCATGTTGAGCAGATTTGACTGTGTTTGTCTTTTATGAACGTTTATGCCCTTAGTGGCTACAGTTAGTTGTTGTTTACACCTTTACAGACTGCATTTGCTAGTTGTGTGTTTCTGGTACACTTCCCTGCATATTTGGCAGCCCCCTTTCTCCACATTCACTGCCAACTGCCACTAATTTTTTATTGCACTTGCTGCCACTTAGCTATCTGCCTGAGAAGAGGAAGGTGAAGGCCCAGAGACTAATCTTCTGTCAGACTTTCGGCAGGATTTCCTTCAGCTCCTATAAATCCCTAGCACAATATAGGCATTTAATAAACACTTGTTAAGTTCGAGACCTTTCCAAAAGGCATTGTTCTATAATGTTTAGTCATAGAAATAGAATGACTCATTTTAATAAATCAAAGCAAATATGAATATTATTTCAAATTGTTTGCAATAATAACAAATAATAAGCAAAATTTATTGGAAATTCACATTTCTGTTTGTCTACAAAAAAAGTACTGTGTTCCTAAGCAGGAAAGAGCTAGAAAGGGGAGAGAAGAAAAACTGTAAATATTTATTTGGTGGCATGTGCACGGTTCTGATAGTAATGACAGAGAAGTCTTGGTCATTTGCATGACAAAAACTTAGGCTCACAGACACTAAGCACTCTGTCAAAGATTTCACAGCTGCTAAAATTTTGATCAAGACTTCTAGAAACTTCCAGTGTTTTTTTTTGCTTAAACTGCATTGTCTAGGACCAGAATTTGAGGACTTTGGGAAACAAAATAAGAATCTGAACAAACTGAGTTTGTTTGGCCAAGGAAAACAACCTTCATCATTTAGCTTCTCCTTCCCTTCAGAGAAAACTGACCCTTTCCCCATTCGTTTCTATGGATAACTATTCTACTTTTTTATTGTTTTATTTTTATTTTTTGAGTTTTTGAGACAAGGCTTCTCTGTGTAACTTTGACTGTCCAACTCACAGAGATCCACCTGCCTCTGCCTCCCAAGTGCTGGGTTAAAGGCCAGTACTGCCTAGCTTAATTATCCTACTTTTATAAAAATAGTGTTTGGCCTTTTGTTTTGGAAGGCTTTCTGGCTTTAAAAAAATTTTTTTTATTGGTTCTTTGTGAATTTCACATCATGCACCCAAGTCCCACTCATCTCTTCTTCCCCTCGTAATCTGTTTTTCACCCTTGAAAACTCCACCACAGAGAAAGACCCAGTGTGTCACATGCCATTCTCTTTTGTCCATACTTCTTTAAGTGCAAACGTTCATTGCAATGACCCTTTGGTCTGGTACAAGGCCTCTGGCTTCTGCTACTCTATCAATATTGGGACCTCGCTGGGACTCCTGTCCAATACCCTCTTGTTGCCCTATGTCATGGAGATCCTGTAGTTTCAGATCTGTAGGACCGATCCCTTCAGGCACTCCAGCAGTTCAATGATGAGGTAGATGTTGGGGTGGGCCAACTCAAAGCCTTGATCTGGGCCTGAGAGGTATCTGAGCTGGTCAGCCCACCAGCTCTCATGCCCTCCCTTGGGGCAGTTCACCAGAATCCTCCAGAAGTCAGGGCTGTCTCTACCCTGCTGCCTCAAGTGTTGCAGGCTCAAGGCCAGTTCTCCCACTCCCATAAACCCAGGGTCAGCTCTACCATCTGCTGTACATGGTGAGGGACAAGGGAGGAGAGGAGGGTGTTTCTTCCTTGTCCTGCAACCCCCACATCTAGGGCCAGGTGCTGCAGCAGGTTGGGGGTAGGGATAGCTTTCCTGGCTTGATGACCCCAGGGACAGTTCTCTGGACTGCCATAGGTCGCAAGAGGAGAGGATGGGGAAGGTATCTTTCCCTTGCCCATGCTGCCACACAGCAGACAAGAGGCAGGGCCAGCTCTGGCATGCTTATGCCAGCACTCCCACCATCAGGGTCAGTTCTACTGTGCTGCCCAGGTAAGGTGCAGGGCCTGCTCTCCAGGGTGCTGTAACTGGAGAAGGGCAGGTCCAGATCTCCTGCTCTTATAACCCCAGGGCCAAGTACCCAGCCTGCTGCAGGTGGAGAAGGGGGAGGGGGAAGGGAGTATCTCTGTCTGCTTTTTGGCTCTTAATAAGATTTTTTTCCCAACAGGTATCTGTCTTTCCCATTGTATTTGCATATAATCAGCCTAAGACAACAACCCCTGATTTTGAAATTCTTTATTACAATCCTTGCATACTTCCCATGCTTTTGCATGCCTCCAGCTCCAGAAATTCAATGGCTTTTATTTTTTCTTTTTTTCTTTTTTCCATAATAGGTAAACGAAAACATTCACGCTGCACAGGCAATGGGAGTAAACCAATCTGCTATCCATGCACAGAAGGGAAGGAGTACATGGACAAAAAGCATTACTCTGATAAATGCAGAAGATGTGCACTCTGTGATGGAGGGCATGGTATGTAACTAAGAAAGCAATTCATAAAGGCCAATCCTGGTCCTTCATGTAGAACCACACGTGATACAATTTGAGATCGGGACCTACTATGGTACCATGCTGGAATACAGGAAGAAGCAGAATGAGGTTAGCTGGGTACTGTGGAGCCACAGCATAAGATAGCAATCACTTTTAATCACTTCTCAGCCATTTTCCAAATAGAAGCAAAGGACTGAATAACTGGATGAGAGTAAGTGCACCAGCTGCAATCCAAGCCACTCATAGAGGCTATTTTTTTTCCTACCTTTTTAAAAACGTCTTGAGGTTCTTGTTCACAGCTGTACAAAGAAACCCAAGATGTGGAGAGGTAGTCCTGTAGGGATCTGGTCTGTCGTTATCATTCTACTTGGGGACCTGGAGTTTTGTAGCTATTTCAATCTATTCTCAAGTCCAGGATGAGCAACACAACAAAAAGATGACCGGAACAGCCATCAAGAAAACTCTGGGCAACAAGTTCTAAAAGTTTTTTTGTTTTGTTTTGTTTTGTTTTTTATCATAAGGTTTAATATGAAGAAAACTCTGGACATCAAGTTTTAAAGCGTTTTATTTATTTGTTTATTTTGGCATAAAGCTTTTAAATCAGACGGTAAGGAAGTGATGTGGAACCCTGGGTATACATTAAAGTTGTACAAGAAGCTGTTGAAATACTAATACTTAGGTCTTAACTCACAATTAAACCAGAATCTCCAAGTGGAGTCTGAAAATTTGTCTGAGTAAGTCTAGTTTGGGCTTATCATGCAGCATTACAACATGCTAAGATGATGATGATGGTGATGATGATGATGATTGAGAGGACCAAACCTACTCCATTTTGAATCAGGCCTCCATGTTAAGCCTTAGGTTTTGGTTTCCAAGAAAGGCTTCTCAGAGACCACAGAAGACAAGCAACCAATCAATGGCTGCCCAATATTTAGCCAGAAACTAAGTCAGACAGACAAACAAAGAAAAGTCCCTATGAGGTAATCCTATCTCTCTCTCTCTCAAAAGTGAGAGCCAGTCCCAATTGGAGTCACATAGCCTCCATGGGCATCAGCCAATTTTAATTGAAGTCATGTAGCTGCAGTAGAAATTCTCCTAAAGACTTTAAAAGATCCTGAGAGATCACTTCAGGGTCACCATTTTGTATGACTGGTCGACCCCTGCATGCCGGTTGTTTCTAGAGAATAAGCTCTCTTTGCTTTTACATACTGTTTGAGTCTGAGGTCTTCCTTCAGCAGTTCTCCACCCTTACAAAGATCATGACAATTTCTAAGACATCGATGCTTTCCAGGCCATGTATTTATGGTGCAAAGCTCTCAAAGGAGTGGATTTGCCATTTAAGCAATGGTGAAGATTGCCTGCCTTTCTGGATTATCTATCCACTAACAGCTCTACTAAATGGTTGCTGGCCCTTTTAAGCTGTTACTGCCTTTTTTGTTAGTGAGCATTGCTATTAAAAGTGTGATAGTGTAACAGTTGATAATATGTAATAAATCTAAAAAGAAATACATAAATCTATGTAGTCCCTGGTCATTATTTTCATAGCTTGTTTTTAACTAACTGCAACAATTAAAACTTTATAAACTGGCTTTCTAGGTTTAGAAGTGGAAGCAAACTGCACCCCAACCCAGAATACCAAGTGCAGATGCAAAGAAGGCTTCTATTGCGATACTTCTGTCTGTGAACACTGTGAAGTCTGCGTCTCGTAAGTTTTAGTATTCAGTGCATAAAACACTAGCTATCATATATAGGAGGTCCTGCTTTCCTAGAGAAGAGTCATACTTAATGAGAGCTAGGAACTGAGGTCTCTTCTTGTCTCTCCACCATTCGCTCAGTTACCACCAGTCAGCACCGAATGTCACTGAGCACTTTCCAGTCTCTGAATATTAGCAAAACCCTCCTGTTCAAGTTGACACTGCTGGCTGCTTTTGTTTGTAATGAGGGACACACACGTGACTGTCATCAAGGCTTTGGTTCTAGAGGCAGAGACAGCCAAAAACAAAAACAAAACGAAACAGAAAAAACACACAGACAAACAAACAAACAAACAAATGCTTATTGCATGTCAATACTTTTTTGGTGTATGGCAGCCATAAGACATTTGTGCTCAGCGTGATGCAAGTTATGCAGGAAGACCTTTTGAGACAGTATGAAAGATGGGAGTCTTGATGAGGCAATAAACAGTATTATCAGGTACGAGTGAGTGGAAAGTATGCTCAGGCAAAGAACAAGAGCTTTGAAGAGTCGTAAAAAGCTCCCATATCTCCTGGAAGATGAAGAGCCTGGAGGGGAATTGGATAACCACCTTGCCTTGATGCTAAAGGGCTTGCTTGTGACTCAGATCTACAAAACCTGGTTGTACAGCTCACTCTGCTGATTAATTGGGCTAGTTTGAGCCGACTACTTGCGCTATCTGAATTTCAGTTTTCTTATGAAATTCGAAGAATATTTAATTAGTTTCACACACCTGGGGATCACACTAGTTTACAAACACAACTTTTGCAAAAGCGGGGGAGGTAAACACTTCAGTGGCAGAACACTTGCCCAGCATGTTCAAGGTCTTGGGATCAAGTCCCAGCACTGAAAGAAAAGTAGCTTGTGTTTTGGAAGAGGCTGGTTTCGTAGAGAATGTTTAGGACTGCTATTTCCTTGCCATTCCTTAAAACTGTAAGTCATTTTTGGAATCTTCTGGGCATTCATCATATAGGTCTAAAAAGCAGAGACATGGTACTTCACATCTTACTTATTAAGAAAATCATTTGTCTGGCTCCCCTTGCTCCCCTCTCTTAGCCCCAAGTGTCTGGGAGTGATAAGAGGCAAGTGATAAGAGGATTGTAGGGAAGTAGCTAACTCAGCCACAAAATAACATAATAATAGCTCTGTATACTTTATGCTCAAGATTTAGTTTCCCTCTCACTGGCACTCTTAAAGGTAGATAGTGTAATTATCTCCATGCTGTCACAGCTCCTGGAGGTTAGCTGCTCGCTCACACTCAACCTGCTTAGGCTTCAGGAAGAGGCTGGCTGTGAACTGTCAGAGTCTGGCTAGCTGAAGAAAATCCCACAAGTGCCTCTTGACTATCCTGGTTACTCCCTGCTGGGACCCTGGCCAACATCCTAGGCAGTGTCTACCTTCAGGCTATTTTAATGATTTATAAGACTTTTTTTTTTCCTGAAATTGTTCTTGTAGGTTATTTTAAGAATAGTTTATTTTAAGCTCTTGTATCCTAAGAATTCAATGTAGTAGAGTTTATTTTTGTTTATCCCTTTCTTTTGTATATCAGTAGTTTATTGCTTTTAAAACTCTTGATATCATTAAGATTTTTGTTTTTTATTTTTTAAATATGGGGATGCAGGTATATGCACGTGAGTACAGTGCTGGGGAAGCCAGAAGACGCTGTTAGATGCCCTGGAGCCAGAGTTACAGGTGGCTGTGAGCTGCTTGGCGTGGATTCTGGGACCTGAACTCTGATTTTTTCCAGGACTCTTAACCCTGGAGCCATTTCTCTAGCCCAATCACAGTCTTTAGGTTGGACCAACTTTGGATGGTGATCTAGAAATATCTGAGAGGAAACAATGCCAGAGATGAAAGGACAAATGAAACAAACCCTAATTTGTAATGCACTTTGAAAGACAGGAAAGGAGTCTACTCAGCCTCCTAAGTTTCTTCTGCCATTCCCCCCTAGGTGTGAACATGGAGTCCTTGAAGAGTGCACACGAACCAGCAATACTAAATGCAAGGGAAAAGGTGATCATTCGTTTTTATGACCACGTTCCTTTCTCGCCTCCATCGCCACGTGTCAGAATGAAAGCTCATTGGTTTATTACTGGTTGAAGGAACAGAGCTTTGCTTTATCTTAAAAACTGCACAATTTCATATAAAATATCTAATATTCCCAGGCCCCAGCAGTCTCCTATGGTTGCTGTTGTTGATCATGATCATCCCTGTTTTGGTAATACTGTTTGGTAAGTCCTAAATTTGTTCAAACTGTGGGGTGGAGTGACATGAGAAGTAGCTGTTGTGCCCATTGGGAAAACACGGAAAGCCAGGCAGAGTGTGTACGGCACACGGTGAACCTGACCTCAGTCTCTGCCCTCCCGCCACAAACTTTATTTTAATGTTTACTTAATTTTCGGTTTATTTATTTTTAAAATTACTCCTTATTTTGTGTCTTTAACTTAAAACCTATGACCAAATGTTTGATTCCTTAATAATGTCAGTAGTTAAGGGAAAGCTGGAAAAGCATGTCAAAGCCTAGCGATGATGAGATACACCAACTTTCAGTGAGTCAGAATCTTCTGATCTTTCCTTCTTTGTTAGAACAAGTAACTGTCTTGTCAATTCAGTATTTTTAGTGTGAGGATTTCCTATCAGAATGACGTTTGAGTCTGACAGAAATCTCTTTGATCCTTCAGTGTTATATAAAAAGTACTGGAGAAGAAGCCATGATGACCCTGAATCTGAAACCTCAAATCCTGTGAGTATCCAAATGTGCATCATCTTTCTTGAAAACAACAAAACAAAACAAGACAAAACACCATTAGCACTTTCTTTAATACAGGTATGTGTCTGTCCAAGCGCGGGTTACAACAACAATGAATTAATGCACTGCACACAGCTAATTTAGTAGTTAGTTTTTGCGGGCTGCTATACAAAAGTGTCTACCTTCTATGGTCATTTGGGTCTAGATGGAGCTGGATCTGACCTGTCCTCTTCTTCCTCAAATAGAAGAGCATCCGCACTGTCTACTGAGCAGCACAAGAAAGCATGATATTGGAAAGGAACATGGAACTTGCTGTTAAAGACTCTTTTACCAGAGTTTAACAAGGGAACAAGTTGTTTTCTGACCCTTACTGACCTAGAAAAGCACTCAAAACCACCAGTAGATTTAATCAACCTGTAGTTACATGTTGCCTTCATCATTTACAGTGGCTAGTTGCCAAGGTTACAGTCAGCCTACGGCCTGCATCCACGGAATGCCTGCACGAGACTGTGTTATCACCGCACGCATGCACTCATGCATTATTTTGGGCAAGGGACACAATTCAGGAGCACAGGCTATGATTAAAGCTGTGCATCAAAGTTACCTTGTAAAAATCTGATTACGTGGTATAGCTGGATTGGTTGTATTGTTTTCTCAAAGGTGGATTAAATGTAAGGAAACAGATTGAATCGATAGTTTTAAATGGTCTCAAAGCATATTATTATCTGGTTGAAAATGTTGAATTTTGGAAGGAAGGCTTACAAAAGGTATTTGCAGAATAAAATAAATATTTGGTAGTTTTATACAAATGCTATGAGGAGCAATGAAGGAACATGGAGGCCAGCCATCGTGAGCTGGGGAAAAAATATACAAAGTGCAGCATTTCCTCTTGCTGTTTTCACAGAAAGGCCATTGGCCAAAGCCAATGGGACTCAGATTACAAATCCTAATAATAAAGACTTTGCCCTTAAAATCCACTTAACACCCATAGTATGGCTGTCTCCATCTGGCCATGGAGTTAATGTAGTTAATCTAACAGAGGAGGCTGGAACCTTCCCGAATTAAAATTGAAAGACTCATCTTTACTGCAAAGTTTAGCTTCCTAAATATGTATACCTAACAGGCAACCGTATAATATTTTCTGCTGGATTTAGAAAGAATGAAATGACATTTAATATGCATGTGTCTCTCTGCTTCTTTTTTGTTCTTCCCAGGAAAATGTGCCAATGAATTTTGGAGGTAAGTCCTTCTATTATTTTATTTCACAGATGTTGGTATAATGTTCTTTTGGAATGTATACAATTTATCCTTGTTCATTCAAATGCTGATTTCTCTACCCCACTATCTGGTTTCAATCTGGACATTGCATTGTGATGCTTAGAATAAGCATCACCTGTCTCAAGTTTGTGAAAATATGCCCCCATTTGTTCTCTATATTGTCAATTAAACAACCAGCCCCAATGTTGTGCAATGGAGAGAATAGGGTGGGACATTGAAGCAGGAGGGAAGATCAGAGGTTGGGAGGACAAGATTTGGAACCAGGACGGGAGAGCGGAGAATCAGCAGGACAGGTCTTGGGACCACTTGGAGAGATAGACCAGACCTAAGATATGACTAAAAGCAAGTATAATGGGTGAAATCTGAATAGTAAGAAACTATGTGGGCTTGGATGGAATGACTATTGCCCAGCATTGTGCTTTAGGTTAGTTAAATAAATACCAGTCTATGTGTGGTGATTTGGGTATACAGCTGGTTTAGGAATAATCATTGATTAACTGAAAGATAAATCAACAATAAATATTAAATACCCACAATGCACAGAAGTGGCTTTCTTTGTCAAAATAAGCCTAAATCAGAACAGACTCTAAGATTTTAGATTGAAATGTTTGAATTTCAGTGGCACTTTAGACTTTCCTGTTATTTGAACTGTCAGTTCTAGCAAAAGTTTAAATTTATAACAGTCTAAAATGAATCAGGTAGTGATGAGACAGTATAGTACAAGAGGCTTAAGAACAAATTTCTTCATTATCAGTTAGCTATATCACAGGACTCGTTGTAAACTGATGTCCAAGTCGAATGGAAACATAAACCCTAAACATGTTCTCACTGCTGCAAAACATGCCCAATTTCCTTTGGTCTTGTCCTTTGACCTGTGACTCAGAGATTGGCTGAACTGACCTTTTAAGTTTGTGGGTCTGACCATCAAATCTTTATCAGGCATTAGAGATGATATTTTTTTAAAGCTTCTGATTTCATAAATGAGGTAAGAAGACAAATATGTCATCTATCATGTTCAGCTCAGAGAGGAAGCTAGAGAAGCTTGGATGTACAGCTCAAGCTTTCTTTGTTTGAACCTACAGGACTCACCTGTACTATGAAATTTAAGGTGAGAAGTGAACAAGGCTTCAGTAATGGGAATCCCACTTAGAAAGATATTTCCAGAGACTGTTTTCTGTTTTTCAGATGATGATAACTTGAGTAAATACCTCCCAATTATTGCTGAACAAATGACTATAAATCAAGTTAAAAAATTTGCTCGGGTGAATAAGATCCCTGAGACAAAGATAGACGAGATCAAGAATGACCATATCCAAGACACAGCTGAGCAGAAAATCCAGCTGCTTCAGTGCTGGTATCAGTCTCATGGGAAGAAGGATGCATATCACGCCTTCATTAAAGGTCTCAAAAGAGCCCACTGTTGCACTGTTGCTGAAAGATTTCAGGCCATCGTCCGGCAGGACAGTGAGCATTCAGTTTAGGACATCAGAGATGAAAATGAAAGACCACGACATCTTGAGTGAAAACTACTTCAGTTCCAGCTATGAAGAGAGAGAAGAAAGAGCACTGAGAGCCTCAATGACAGACACCAAATGAAAACCTACTTGACTGCCATTGGCAACTCCGGGTCTGTTCTCTTTGCCTGCAAATGACAGCTAGTAACCAGAAAGGGTAAAATGACTAGCAGGTTCCAGGATCTGGTTTTGTTATTTTTACATTCAAACCTCATGAAAGTTGTGTTAAATGTGAATTGGAATCTGCAGTGTTTGAGTTTATACTCACATACTGTGAACTGAGGAGACTTATAAATGAAGACAAATGCTTGCAGCTACCTAAAGATCTTTCACTGATGGACAGTTATTTTCCTCTGTATATGGGAATGTATATTAGAGAAAATCGTTTACTTAAATTAAATTATCATTTTTGCATTTCTAGTTCTCTGTTGTCTCACTTGTTACTTTCTTTTCCTTTACTCTAGTGACAGCTTAAATGTTACCTGTTCAAAGAATCGTTAAAGGTTGCTTTGACCTTTCAGGAGGAAATTCCTTTGTAAAGCCTTGTAAATGGTTCATTCCATGGATGTTACTGCCAAAAAATACTCTCAAACAGTATACAGTTATTTGTCAAACAGGATTGTACAAGAGGCACTGAAATGTTAATAAGGGGTTGTTTTTGTTTTTGTTTTTGGTAAGTGAGCTAAAAGGAGGAAATCCAAATACTCTACTATTTACTTGGTAACCACCAGGTCTCTTCTTTCTTTCTTTTTCTCTGTCTCCCCAAGAGGCCTTTAAAATGTATTTCCTATTGTTAAGAATATTATTTGAACTCAGTCATTGCAGAAAGCAACAGCTGTTGCAATTAAATTTATTGGAAGCTACTTAACAGAGACACATAAAGTAAGCCTAATAGAAACAGTATATAGGGGAAGTGTGACTGTGGCTCACAGCTTACCATAGCAAACAATCAAAGGAGGCTTTGAGCATCTGGTTTGTGCGGAAGGTGCCCTTCTCCCCATCTTAAATCAGCATTTGAAAAAGCAATCCTCTTTTCCTATCATTCCTATGGTAACATTTCCTGTTTTGAAAATTGTTTAGTTACAGCTGGGAGTGGTGGTGCACACCTGTAATCCCCATTCAGGGAGGTGGAGGCAGGCAGATGGCTATGTGGTTGAGGCCAGTCTGGCCTACAAAGAGAGTCCAGGACAGCCAAGGCTACACAGAGAAACCCTGTCTCAAAAAACAAAACAACAACAACAAAAACAAAAAAGAAGAAGAAAGAAGGAAAGAAAAGAAAAAAAAATAGTTAGAGTAGTATGTTTTATTTAACCAAATATTTCCAAGTATTGGCATTTTAGCACATATAATCAGTCTGAGAGCTGGAAGACCAGCTTTGTAGAGCAAGGCCGTATTCAGTCCCCAACAACACAAACAAAGCAACCCTCCCTATCAAAATAAATCACTATCAGTAATATGGCTTATATTTCCCCACAAAGCTTTAAAACTCTATCTTGTGTTTTGTTTAAGCACACGTTAAGCACATCTCATTTTGGGTTATCCACATTCCATAGAGCCAGTGGCCGCATAAGGACGATGGTGACAGCAGAAGATAATTTTCATCTTCATCTTTGTTGTAAAGGCCTCCCAAATGACTGTCACTCTACAGTCAGATGGCTGTAGGACTAACGCTGGACTTTCTGGGAGTGTCACACGAGATAGCTTTTCTCTGTCGGGTTACAAGTCCAGCATCTCCCATCCATGAGCTAGTTAGCTTTGGGAAATGGTTTGCTTACATTCATCAGCAGCTGTTCTTTCACTTGAGATTGTTCTTCGGTTGGCTCTTGGAGCCCATTTGTCAGACTCCAGTGAACCTCTGAGTAGATTACAGCCTTCTTCTCCCAGGACTCTGTTCTACCAAGTCAGATTGTGCCGCCTCCTGAATGCCATCTACGTGTTTTAGCTTGGCACATGTCTGCTTTCTTTAAGGGATCTGACCACTGTGGTCTCAAAAGTGCCTTTAGGAAGGAAAATTGAGTGGTGTGGGTGTTTGCCCCCACTGCACTCTGAGGGATGAGAGACTGAACTGTCCTGTTCAACTTTCCAGTTGGGAACAGCAGAAAGGCAAACCCAGTACAGTTCAGCAATGAGTCTCCAGCTTTTCAAGGTGAAACTGAGTGTGGGAACATCCGGTGGCTACCTTGATGAGTTTGAACTTGGACCAAGAACTCCAAGTCCCTTTGAAAAGTCTTTGCAGTGGAGGATGTGAATCTTTTCTCTTTGGCTTCACCCAGAGGCCCCACGAGTGATTGCTTCCACATCAGTAATCACAGTTGTGTTCTGGACAGGAAGTGACTTTTTGTTCCAAAGTTACCTTGCTTTAGTTATCTACATCTTGATGGTGGTTGGCATCTTCAGCAGGACTATAACCCTAATGTCTCTTATGGCCTACAGGGAAAAAAAAAAAAACTCTACTAAAGGTCAGATACACTATGAGCTTGAATACCATCTTGGCATTCTTCTTTAGCAAGTCCAAAGAGTCCTCTGGTGTTTGTTTTGACCAGGCACTGTGTAGTTTTGTACAGTGATATGGATAAGACTGGGTTGTAGTTCAGTAGTAGGTGACTTTTTTAGCAACCCTGAAGCCCTTAGATCAATCACCACTATCAAGATAGATAGATAGATAGATAGATAGATAGATAGATAGATAGATAAGGAAGGAAGAGAAAAGGAAAGTCTATGCAATGCAAGATATTTGTAGCTTCTCCTGAGTATTTTAAAAACCATCAGTCCTCTTTTTATTTGTTGCTGATGGCATGCCCACTACTGGTCTAAGTATTTCTTTTTACATAACCCTTTTCTCTTCTAGTAGATTTTGAAGTTTTCTCTAGTTGGTTTAACTTAAAAGAGTTTCAATGTGGATTTATCTCCTCCTCCTCTTCCTCTTTCCTTCCCCTCTTGCCTCCACTCCTCTTTCTGCCTCTCCTTTCTTCACCATTGTCTTTTAATGTCCATCTCTGTGGTCTAGGCTGGCTGAAATTTGAGTTAATCCTCCTGCCTTAACCTCCTGATTGTTGGGAACTTATTTTTAACTCATTTGTTAAGCAGTACAACTTTTAAAATTTTATTTCTTTTAATTTTTGAGATTATAATTACATTATCTCTTCTTCCATTTCCTCTCCCCAACCCCCTCCCATTTCTCCTCTCTTCCAAACTCATGGTCTTTTATTCATTAATGTAGTTACATGCATATATGTATGTACATATACCTTCCTATGTACATAAATACAACCTGCCCATCCTGTATAACGTTACTTGGATGTATATGCTTTCAGGGCTGACCATCTAGTACTGGATAATCAGTTGGCATGATCTTCCCTGGGGAAGACTAATTCTACCTGTCTCAGAATTCTGTAGTAGTGTGTAGTCCTTTTTGTAGCGTTGAGGCCTGCTGAGCTTTCTTTGATTCACATTAGGATGTCTATTAACACCATTCTCATTCAGGTAATGTTTAAGCAGTTGTGTTGGTGATATTTTATGCATAAAGCTTCTGACATTCATAGGAGGCACACTCTCACAGCAGACACTCTGTTCCTCTCTTTTATCTTTTATAAGAAAGGCAGGATTTGGAAATTACCTTCTTTTGCTGCTTTTTTTCTTTTTTTATTATTTTTATTTCAGTTTATTTACTCTACATCCCACAGGAGCCCCCTCCCTCCTCTCCTCAAAATCCCCACCTCCTCTCCTTTCCCCTTCCTCTCCCTTTCCCCTCAGAAAAGGGGAGCCCTCCCTCTCCGCATATCAACCCTCCCAGCACATCAAGTCACTCAGCAGTGAGTATATCTTCATCCCCTGAGGCCAGGCCAAGCAGCCCTGCCAGGGGTAAGTGATACAAAAGCAGGCAATAGAGTCCATGTAAGAAACAGCCTCCCCAACCCTTCCACTTTCCAGGCAACCAAGTCATCCATAGGCCGCCTATATGCAGGGGTCCCAGGTCCAGACCATGCTCCTTAGATGATGTCTCAGTTTCTGTAAGCCCCCATGGAAGTGGGTTAGTTGTCTCTGCCTTTTTGTGAGTTCCTGTTCCTTCTAGGTCCTTCCCAATACTTTCACAGGACCCCTGGAGCTCTGCCCCATACTTGGCTGCAAGTCCCAGCATCTGTCTCCCAGATGACAGTCAAGTTAGGCTCCTGTCTGAAAGCACAGCAGAATATCATTAATAGTGTCAGGGACAGGCTCTCCACCATAGGGTGGATCTCAGCTTGGACCAATTTTTGATTGGACATTCCCTCAATCTTTGTTCCCTCTTTATCCCTGCCCTTCTTGTAGACAGGGTAATTTTTGGATCAAAAGTTTTGCTGGTGGGTTGTTGTTCCCCTCCTTCCACTAGTCCTGCCTGGCTAGGAGAAATCATGAAATTTGCAGGCAAATGGATGGAACTAGAAAAGATCCTCCTAAGCGAGGTAACGCAGACTCAGAAAGATGCACCTGGTATGTACTCACTTATAAGTGGATAGTAGATAGTACAGGATAACCATACTACAATCTACAGACCCAAAGAAGCTAAGTAACAAGGAGGGCCCAAGGGAGGGTGCCAGACTGTCACTCAGAAGGGGACAGAGTGGACAGCAGAAGTGGATAAGAGAGGGAACTGGGCAGGAGATGGAATGGGGAGGGAAACAATGGTGAAAACAGGAGTTGGGGTTGGGAGGTGATAGGGCTGGGAACAAGAAGGGAAACTGAGGGGAGGTATCACTTTGTCAAGCTGGAGGCCTGTGACAGGGCAGGCTCTTCAGAGGATATGGGTGTGACTCTAGCTGAGACTCTAACAGGAGGGATGTGAAGACTTTTTGGTGCTGTTGTTCTGAAAACTCAACTGTTTTCTCTTTGAACATGTAGGTAGGATTACCTACATTCTTTCCTTCCAAAGCATGGCACTGCCTAGTGAAGTTTCTCTAAAAAAAAAAAAAAAAAAAAAAAAAAAAAAAAAAAAAAAAAAAAAAAATTAAAATACACAAATACACAAATTGCACTGACAGAGATGTTTCATTTCCAATTATCTGTAAATGCTCACTTGTACGCGTTTTGTTTCCGCTTTCTTTTCGTGGGCATTTTAACATTATGTGGGAGATTTTCTCTATTGGGTACTCTTAGTGGTGTAAACAAATACTTGACAAGAAGCGACCAGAGGAAGAAAGCTTGGGCTGGGGCTTGAGCGTATAGTCCATCATGGCAAGGAGGGCATGGCTGCAGGACTAAGAGACAGCTAGTCACGTGTCTGCAGTCAAGAAGTAGACAGAGGCGTGCTGGTGCTCCACTGGCCTTCGCTATTTCCATTTTATTCACTCTAGGAGGCTGGCCTGTGGGGGGTGCCACTGACCTTTGGTGTGGGCCTTCTTTGTTGAGAGCCACTCTGTTAAAGGGACTCAGCAGGCAGGTGG